GACAGACAGACAGACAGACAGACAGACAGACAGACAGACAGACAGACAGACAGACAGACAGACAGACAGACAGACAGACAGACAGACAGACAGACAGACAGACAGACAGACAGACAGACAGACAGACAGACAGACAGACAGACAGACAGACAGACAGACAGACAGACAGACAGACAGACAGACAGACAGACAGACAGACAGACAGACAGACAGACAGACAGACAGACAGACAGACAGACAGACAGACAGACAGACAGACAGACAGACAGACAGACAGACAGACAGACAGACAGACAGACAGACAGACAGACAGACAGACAGACAGACAGACAGACAGACAGACAGACAGACAGACAGACAGACAGACAGACAGACAGACAGACAGACAGACAGACAGACAGACAGACAGACAGACAGACAGACAGACAGACAGACAGACAGACAGACAGACAGACAGACAGACAGACAGACAGACAGACAGACAGACAGACAGACAGACAGACAGACAGACAGACAGACAGACAGACAGACAGACAGACAGACAGACAGACAGACAGACAGACAGACAGACAGACAGACAGACAGACAGACAGACAGACAGACAGACAGACAGACAGACAGACAGACAGACAGACAGACATTTTCTGCAATTTTCCCCATATACCCGGTATATCTACTTGTGCGTTCTCTGCATTGCGATCGCGATTTGGATGAGCTGGTCATTTGTTTTAAAAATCTATTCTTAATTTTAAAATAATCATGTTGCATACATTAAACGGAAAAATTATAAATTTAAAAAAAGTACACAGAAATTTAAAACACCTACCTGTGCTGGCTTGCGATATTCTAGTGATATGACATGGCTAGTTGACGAATGCTACGTGGATGTTTTCCACACGTTACTAGTACTAGATTAGTAATCAATATTTCCCCATGCTTTGACGCTTCTTTCACTTTCAGTTTCAATTTCAGGTGTATATCCGTCTCCCTCTCTAAAAAATCTGTTCAATAATCGATTGATACAAGGACACAATATTTACCATTGCACAAACTTGTTTAGTAACTCAATATATATATATATATATATATATATATATATATATATATATATATATGCATATATATATATATATATATATATATATATATATATATATATATATATATATATATATATATATATATAGTATATTATATATTATATAATTTTATATACAATGACGTATTAGCATTAAAATACAAGTACAAGTACAAAATACACGTTTTTATTGTTTTTTAATCTTATTTATTATTTTATTTATTTTGTCACTGTAATAGTCTAAGAATCTTGACATATAAATTTAGTTGCATAGATATGTTTTTCAATGTACTAGATACGATACTAGTATGTTGCATGCTGTAAGCTGAAATGGTATACTAGACGTCGGTTCCCGTTATAGATGTTTGTGAAAAATATTTTACGAAACGTAATATGCTTTATTACATATGCTTTATTACATGTTGAAAGATATTAGTGACACAGCAAATAAATTAATTAAATAGCTAAAAATCCGACACATTTGAAATAACATGAAATAACCAAATTATATACATTTTAGTCAACACAACACCATATTATATGAACAATCGGATTAAGAGAATTAAATGTTTTCTTTAAAAACCCGGGTGTTCAATGGTTCTGGACATTTATATTACTTTTGGACAGTTGTATACTTTTCATAGCGTAAGTCTTAATAAGTAGATCTTTAGATCTAAACCAAATTTGAATGCATAGTTCATTTCTTTATATTCTAAGATGACGAAATTAGTTTTATGTTCTTCCCGTAGTTTAAATATTTGGTATGTGATTGTCAGTTTTATAGCGTCTTTTGTCACCGCATTAAACACTTTTCCGGTTGCATAATTAAAAATGTATTTGTATATTCGAATAATGCTTTATTTTTATTTTACGTCTTCAAATAAAATTTAGTGTACACATTTAAAACATCCAACATATTATTTTCAACCAAAGTTGTTATCTTTAAAATCTCCAAATATCGCTGAACATAAACATACTGATCTCACAGCCTCAAAATGTTGCGGACAGAGAGAGAGAGACATAGATAGAGAGAGACACAGACAGAGATAGAGAGAGACACAGACAGAGAGAGAGAGGGAGAGAGAGGGAGAGAAAGAAAGAGAAGTACACACATGGGCTTTATATATTAGTACATGGATAATGTAACAACTCGGACACAACTAAACAATCTAGTTTTTAATATCGACAATGTGTGAATGACGATCATCCGTTAATGATTTTTTTTCGTGCATAGCAAAACATGTGTACACACGTTTTTGCTAATCCATTTAAATTGTAGCTTTCGCTTACTTCTTTCGTTTTTTCCATATAAACGTATGAAGTCAACATTATCATTTCCAGGTCGTGCCCTAACCACATGGGGCATTTGAAATAGATTTCATCAGTTTCAGTGACCTCGGCGTATGTAATGATAGTGTGGTTAACACAGTGGCGTAGCGGGGTCGGGTTTCACCCGGTGAGGCACTTAATGGTGTCACCCCCCCAGAGGCGTAGCAACCCTTCCCGGCGCTCGGGGACAAATTTCAATTTTCGCTTTGCATCCCCCCTCCCTCAAACTTTCGATTTGCACGCCCTCGCTACGCCACTGGGTTAACAGTATGCTCAGCCGTCTTAATTTTCCCAGACGTTAGTTAGTTACCCATCAGAGTTGGGATAACTCAGGGACGTTCTACTGACATGGGAGACTTTTGTGCTAGCAGTCTAGCGGCTTATCGCTAGAACACGTCGTCCCATAAACAAGTAAAATATATTCTGTGATATTTTTTTATTCAAAAATTCAGTTAAAAAACTTATACCAATTCAATTTTTCAAAAATAGTATATTGCAAAATCGCTCGCCCCACCATCTCAGGTTCAGATTACTACAATTAAAACAGCATCCATTTTCTAAGAAATACATTTAAATTTTCTCCTGCTAAGAATAAAGACAAGCAAGTTTATCTGCATTCAATGGTCCGTCATATCAAGTAGTAAGGAGGCCAAAATGTATATAAAAATATTATAAAAATATTATATAATTTTGGCTCTGGGCGGAGTAAATTAACAGACTCCCATAAGTATTTTGACAAAAAACATTATAAGTTTTTTAGTTGTAAATGAAAAAAAATATGGGAGTGGAGGCAACCATGTTAATTAATTAACAATACATATGAAAGACAAAGAAATCTACTACACTACTAAAAACACAATAGCACGGAACAAAAACATTAATCACAAAAAATACAACATATTTTCTGATGCTTGTAAAATGAATTTTATTAAATTTAGTTCCGCACAAATATTTAAATCGACAGCCATGTCTGTAGAACTAAATGTTTTGCGACAACCAAGGTAAAGCACTTAAGCCAAAAATACATTTACACCCTTTAGAATTTGTGTGCTTCACCAGTATTACTTTTACTACTTGTTCTCGTTCTTCCACACATTACAAGACATCTTTTTCTGTTTTCTATAAGAGGAAACGCACAGTGCCCTTTCCGGCCACTCTTTTAACATTTTCACAACTTTGCATTTTTACTCAAAATTCAACGTTCAAATCGCTAAGGCTTTGGAAACTTTTGTAATAAAAGACTGAAACATTCCAGGTACATTCAGCATTACATCATCAACAAAACTACTTTTGTACATTAAGTTTACTACAATTCAAAAGGAAATGTTGATATTTATGTAGCAACAGCCCCTAATTTTTGCAAATAAATGTGTGTAATAAATTGTATTAAAAATTGAGTACGAGCAATCGCAATGAAAACATGTAAATATGTATAATTTGGTTTGAGAAATCTACATCTCTTATCAGCTTTTAAAAATCTATTATGGGAACAAAGCATCATTGTTATAGATTATTACTAACTACTTCTTTTAGTTTATGTATTTAAAAAAATTAGCATGTATTTTGTTGTTGTTTTTTTGTAAAAAATGCTATACAAAAGTCACTTCTGGATGATAATTAAATGATAAAACGTGTTACATTAAATATTATCACTGCTCATATAATTTGTTATGCCGTTATCTTAAGAAATGTCACGGACAAAGAATTAAAATCAAGTTGGGAAATGCTGTACTTAAATTATGAATTTTGTACTTAGGTTGTAGGGGGCGGAGTGGTCAAGTGAACTCTTCTTCACTTGCCCTCTAGACCGTCAGGTTTGAAAAAGGATCTTTACTTTTTTTACTTAGGTTGTAATTTATAGATACTTTCTAAACTAACAATTTATTACAATATCATTATTTTATGTTTAATCATTTATATTCCTAATGCAATAAAATTATGATGAACACAACACAAAAAACATTACGAAATTGACAGAATCAAACTGAATCAAAATTTTGTCAGTTCTGTTAATCACATCATTAAGAAACAGTATAAGAGTTGTTACTTCGCAAACAATAAGTCGGAATTGGGACACCTAAAATGTTATTCTCTCCAAACATATGTGATACCATGAGAGTGCTTTAAGAGACTGCAACAATATGTGTGCTTGCTGGTGTATATTATACGCAGTATAAAAGCCTTAAGTGTGCGTTATTCAGCCTGTATTTAGGGGTGCCAGGTGTGAACCTTGTTTAAATTTAATAGTCGAATATAGTGGCTTACCATGTTCCTAGTAAAGGGTGCTCTTTAAATGGAATGATAGCCATAGTACTGACATGGCAAAAAGACAGACGAACAAACACAAATCATTTCAAATGTATATACAGATGGATAGCCTATATTATAGTGACATTCATTTAGCTATCAATTTAAAATCAGTTGTTTTAAAATTACAGCACTTCATTTTATGAACAAAATAGAAACATAATTATAATTTTTAAATACACTTGTTTAGTGCGCAATAGATTTTTGAAAATAAATGAAGCATACATTTACTTAGGTGTGCAGGTTAAAGAAATAAATGGACAGTTGAATATACATTGGACATGTGTGTACATTTTAGAATTATACAGATATTAAGAATCAAGTTATAAAGCTATATGCTTGACGAATCACTCTACAAAACATAGTTTCAGACGCATTGTACATTTTCGTGCCATTTCGTGTGGCCTTATTTTATATATTCTATTTTACTGTTCATCAAATCTGAAGGCAACAAAAGGGTCGCTGAGCAGTTCTAAAGCTGATGGACGCAAGAGTGGATCGTATATAAATATTCTGTCCAGGAAAGTCTGCATCTCCTGCGTTGATGCCTCAGGGAGAATGTACTCAGGTTTTTTGCCTAATGCCAGCTGGTACATGTGCTGCTCTTTATTGTGATCTGGAAATGGGGGGCTAGTTGTGGCCATTTCTACAACTGTGCAGCCAAGACTCCTGGAAATAAAATGGCATTCATCGGTATTACAGAACAACAATTACAATTAACTTTAAGACACAATTCATAGTTTAAAATAAATAAATACTTGTAGTTACCCGTTCTTTTTGGTGCATCACATACTTGATAACTATGTTAAAGCTATATATATATATATATATATATATATATATATATATATATATATATATATATATATATATATATATATGTATATATATATATGTATATATATTGTAATATGCAACTTCAAATCAAATGTAGAGACCATCTCTAACATAAACACACCTTGGCTTATTTATTAATGGCAGTTTATTTAATATATTTTATTGTATCATATTCTTTTTCACTCGCTGTATAACATTTTCCTGCAATATAACAAGATCATTGCTAAAAGTTCTTGATAACTAAGGTGATATTAAAAACGCTAATACAGTTAGCAACCAAAATCCTTGTTCAGAAGCTGTTTTTATTCAATAAAAAGTATTTCATTAGAAGAAGATGGTATTTAATTTCAGTCCATAAATTCAATAATTTGAATTATCTATTTTTTTCAGAGCTATTATTTTTTTCTATAATGCCTTTGTATACAATGCTACATATATAGATTGAGATTTCATTAAAAAATAAACATTTGATGAGTATCCCTCCCATTTTACAATGCAATCAAAAAGATTTACTTCCCATTTGTGCAACTAACCCATAATTACACGCTTTTATTTACAGTGTTTCCTTCGTCGTCATTGATAAAAATTGCCGAGCGAAATTGCGGCAACTTCCAACAGATAATTATCTCTGAGACTAGACGCGTGGGTCAAGATCCCTTGGCAATGCAACTGGACTTATAATTAAACTTAATTAGATGCTTAAATATCATGTTTTTTTTTAAATTTTAAATACAAGCTAGATTTACCAAATATCAGCTTTACAGTCATAAGGTGTTTTCTTATTTCCTTTCAATATTTCAGGTGCCATCCATTTTGCCGTACCTAATCCTGTTTTCGGCTTACTTGACTCAGTTATAATTCGAGCAAGACCAAAATCTGCTATTTTCACTTGGTGATCTTTATCAAGTAAGACATTGTCGCCTTTATGATAAAAAACAGAGTTTGCTTTAATAAAAAACATTTTATTTGCAACATTTATTCAAACAAAATCATGAAAAAAATCATAATGAAAATATATTTATCTCACTAAAATAAAATGTTAAACGATGATGCATGTAAAATAATATATTAATAATAAACAGCAATAGATAAAAATCATACTTAAAAATAATTAATTCAACAAAAGAATATCTTAAAAATAGGTAGACTAATAAAACAAAATGCTGTACAATAATGAAATACTCAATGAAGACTAAATGTGACTTAAGCAAGCTAACCTGTATCATTATTTTTTTTTCTAAATTGTCTTAATAATTTTAATATGTTTATTCTTTGTTGTTCTATTTTCAAATAATTATAACATAATTCCTTTTCAATAGTTTTGATTTTAGAAAGAAAAAAAATCGAGAATGAATTGACCGTATCCCTTTTAATTGATTTTAGTCATCTCACTATGTTAACTTGTTGAAAAAATACTGTTTTAGTATAAAATATCCATAAGTAAACTTGCCTTTTATATCTCTGTGTATTATAGGTGGCGAATGTGTATGTAGATAGTTAAGTCCTTCCAGAATTTGTCTTGTGAATATTTTAACTTCTGTTTCCAAAATTCCGCCATTTTCTTTTGTGTATTTTCTTAATGAACCCTTGAAAATCAATCAGAGAAAATAGAGTTCATATATTATGGTTGAATTTTTCTACAGAAAGATCATGATATATATATATATATATATATATATATATATATATATATATATATATATATATATATATATATATATATAAGATTGCTTACCTGGCACATATATTCAAAAAATAGAAGCGTCGTTTTATTATTTTTTATAAAACCGTAGAATTTAACAAGTCTGTAATGTTCAGTTTTAAGTAGAATTGACCACTCTGTTTCTTCCTAATAAAAAAAAATTATAACATACACTTATAGATGTAAACACAATAGAATCAAAACAATACTTCAAAATATCAGTACTATTGTACTAAATTTAAACATATATAACAAGTATATAATATATACTAAACATTTCGCCTACATTTGCATAGGCTTCCAAAATTAAGGTGCTAAACATCTAACCGTTATGTAACCATTGTACAAACCTTAACACCATTACTAATTTAATTAAATACATTTTCAATATAAAAGTATATTTTTTTCACTGACATTGCTAATTCTAAACAAACAATATTTTGATATTTATAATGATTTAGTAAGTAAAATAAATATAAAAATAACCATTCTGTTCAAAGCAAGCTAATGTGTCATTTTATACAAATCAAAAGTATTGAATAAGCTTGATTACCATTTTTGTCGAACAAGAACATAATATTTTTAAAGGTGTTTTCTAAATGTTTAAAAACAAAAAGACTCAAAATTAGACATTATTAGGTGTCGCCTAGCCGGTAGAGCTCTGGTCTGCTAACCCGATAGTCTCGAGTTCAAATCATGGTTCAAGTTAATAGAAAGCCCCTGAATCCATCCAGCTTTGATGGGTAACTAACTCATGTTAGGGGAAGTAAAGGCGGCCGGGCACAGTGTTTACAATACCTTCCTTTCATGTGTCGAGTTCGATAAACATTTAAACTCTACTTCATCTGCCCAATGGATTCCTTAATATTTAATGTGATTTTCCACTTTACTATTACACGAACTTCAAAGAATTTTTCTGATACGCAATTTTATAAATTTATTTATTTGTGTTTCGTTGTTTTTGTTTTCTTTATTCTTCCTGTGTAGAAACCTATGTTAAAAGTTCATGTTCAGGTTTAGTTTTATATTTTTGATTTTGATTCAAAATTTTGCTTTTCGATTTCAGAAGTTTAGTATCGTTGTAATTATTTACACAGAAATAAAATAATTAGCATATAAGTTGCTGGATTTTAAACCAATATTAAAGCGGGTCATGTTTGTATTTCATTTGAAAACCGGAAGAATATTATAATTACCGTTACCTTTGAATGCGATTCTTCCTCAAATTCAATTTCTTTAATAATATATTTTTCGTTATTATAATACTGCTTATCCTTTAAAAGATAAACACATCCGAATTGACCTCGACCTAAAAACGACGATTTTTGCCATTTTACTGGGAATCCAGGAGCTAAAACTTCTGAAAATTGAAGATAAACATATTGAAAATATTGCTATTTCAGATAATAACATGTGGGGAAGAGATCTTATAGTATATGCACATTACATATTTAACATAAGTAGTTTAATCTTCGAATCGAGAATAGCAATTATATTTTTTTAAATATGTCAATTATCCGAAATGCATTAAGAGCAGCACGAAAACCTCAAACACAAAAATTTCACTCTATTTCTGATAGTTCGGTTTAGACATCAATGTATAAGAGAACAATGATCACAGTTTTGTTTAAATTGTTAGCGTATTAGTGTGGTTAATGTTTTGATCAACTAAAAATAAGAGTAATATATACCTTTTGAAATGCTATCCCAATTTTTAGTTTTTATCAAAATAGTAGGGGACTTAAGTATCGCTACCCAAAACTAATTAAAAGCTAGGCGAAATCCGCGTATACTATGAAACAAAAAAAAATCTGCGTAATAATTATAGAAAACTAATTAAACCTGAAAGAAAGCGTTTTGGGCTTTATTTGCAAACATTTTTACCCGAGTAACAATATTTTAAAAAGATAACACTATTTTCGGATAGAAAAAATAAGCTGTGTAAGAGTGCTATGTTACAAACAGTATTTTTTTTGTATAGCTACATTACAATTATTTCGACAAATATATATTAGTTGGGCTTTCACAATCCATTTCACCTTGTTTGTGCCGGAACGTGATTGCTTCTCTTTTTGTTAGCCACAAGATTGAAGTGATGATTTTCTCTAATTCTCTTTCTGTTATGTTCTGAAGAAATTCCAATTGAATTATAATTTCTCTGTGTTCTTTAATTTTGAATCTCCCCTGACTTGTCTGCGCAATAGCCAAAAGGCAGCTTCCAGCAGCTTTCTGCTCTCTCTTGTCATCAGAGCACAAAGCATTATACAGACAGTCTAGCGGTTCGGAGTCTAGAATCTTGACACAATTATAAAATTAAAATAAATAAAATATAATATTAGAAAGCAAACACTTATAAAGCTTTTGTTTGAAATGTAATGTATAAATACAAATGGTGAAAAATGTTTTTCAATTATCACACACATTCGTCTGTATATACCTATTTTGTAGTAAAGAAATAACCAGTGGCGTAGCAAGGATCGTCTCAAGGGGGGGTTCCAATTTTTACCCGGGGACAAACTATCGATTTGCACCCACCCCCCTCAAACTTTCGATTTGCACCCCCCCCCCCCTCAAACTTTCGATTTGCACCCCACTCCTCAAACTTTCGATGTGCACCCCCCCCCTCATACTTTTTCTATATACCGAGGGGTCTATGGGGGGGGGTTATGACCCCCCCCTAACCCCCCCCCCCTGCCTACGCCACTGGAAATGACACTTCGTTTAATTGCTTACCTCAAAAATTAGTTTTGATTTTAAACAAATCTTTGTTAGGCACTGAATCATTGATGATATATTAAAGCCGTTGAAAGCTCTGCTTACACACTGCATTCCACTTTTTATCCAGTTTACTAAAATCTGTATCTCTCCTATATTGAATTATATAAATATAAATATATACATTTAAAAATTTATAAATAAAAAAATATATATAAATAAATAAATAAATAAATATATATATATATATATATATATATATATATATATATATATATATATATATATATTACTATATATATCTATAATATAAGCGGGCTGTGTCTGTCCTTCCTTCCTTCCTTCCGTCCGTCCGTCCGTCCGTCCGTCCGTCATCGCTATAGATTTTGGGACTATAAAAGTAAACTACGCACCATGCTGTGCTTTTCAGTGCACCGCAGTGTCTTATTATAAGTATTAGAGTAGGGTTTGTTTATATAGCGGCATAGAGCTATTTTATAATTTCCACTGTTTGTACAATTTTGCATAACGTAAAGAGAATATTAAATACACGCAAATTGCTAAAACATATTAAAAGGATCAATGTCAAATATAGTTTTCGTTAATATTCCTAGAAAAAGTGGATACATTTTAATAACATAATAACTGTAGGTTAGAAAAATCAAATGAATTTAACTCTTTTCTAATTTTGACAAAGGAGGTAATTTAAAAATACATTAAACTCACGCTAATAAAAAATGTGAAAGCAAATATACGTTCGTCATAGAAGGAAATAGTGTTGCAATAATATAATTAGCAAAATGTGAATGCAAATTATGTGGATGTGTAAGAGGAAATTATTGTTAGAAAATTATAATTAGCATGGATTGATAAAAGGCAATCTTTTATTTATTTTATTCACTGAATGTAGGCCCTTCTGTTTATTACTTATAATTTTTAATCAACTATTCAGCACTATTATAGACGCGTCATCACGTTCATTAGGTGCGCAATGGTTTTAGTTATGAAACTCTATTGTAAATTTTTAAAATTTAAAGTACTGGAAAAAAAATGCGTGAATGGATAAAGTGAAATATTGTAGGTAAAACACGGATATTTTAAATACTGCCTATTATTTATACTGTTTTCTAATTATTATTCTATCTTTCGGTTTGAGGACAAGCTAGGGGTTTTTTAGGAGAGGCGTAGCGAGGGGAGGGCATATGTCCCCGGGTGCCGACCTTAGGGGGCGCCAAATTGGGTTGGAAAAAATTTGCGAGGGGGGGGGGGTGGAAATCGAAAGTTTTAGAGCGGGGGGGGGGGACAGGGGTGCAAATCAAAAGTTTGAGGGGGGTGCAAATCACCGGAAAGGGCGCGATTTGGCGCTACGGGCTAGACTGTGAGCAATATGCCTTTATGATTGCATTTAAATTGTGTTTATGTTATGAGTGTTGTGTTTGTTTTTTCGTTTTTTTTTTTTTGTTTTTTTTTTGCGTTCGTTTGTGTTGTGTTTAGTTTTGTTCTGTTCCCAAGTTGGTACATTTAAAAAAGATTTACCGTGGCGGAGCACGGGATGCAGCTTGTATATATATATATATATATATATATATATATATATATATATATATATATATATATATATATATATATATATATATATATATATATATATATAGTTTTACGTATAAAGAGACACGAACTTAGACGCGTAGGCAGATATATAACCTTAGACTAAGACACAGTCATAATGTAAATGAAAGCTGGAAGTTTTTACGGAATACCGTTGCCCAAAAGGTGTTTACACTAAGGCTATTTACTTGATTATTAAAAGTGCACAGATAGATATCTGCCCGATAGCTACAAACTTTCGAATTGTCGTATATGAAAATTATAAATTATAAATATTTGAATACACAACACTTTATTGTTTAGTATACCTCTGTTTGGAAAGAGTTCCATCGATGTTTCTTTTACGCATACGTTTAATAGCTTAATAGCCAAAAGCAGTTTAATGTCACACGTTTCCATGTATTGTGAGAGATCCTATACATATGTTATAGAAAACGAAGCCAAACTTATTAAAAAATACAATATTAAAGCAAACAATAAACATCTTTAATTTTTAAAAATTTAGCAGTAAATTATTTTACTAAACTATTAAATATATTTTACTTACAATATGTATTTCAGGTTCATTTTCCTTACTCACTGTATTGAATATATTAATCAATATGCCTACAGAATACTTTAAAAAGGCTACAAATATCTGCAAATATATAAGAGAGTCTTTTATTTTATGTTGCTAAATAGCCTTGGCTTATGAAATTAAAGATTGTATGAATATGTTGGCAAACGCTTACATACTGTATAAGCTAACAAAATATAAAAGCAAACTAGTAACTATCAAGTGGCATGTATTGAAACAATTCTATCCAAAATAAACGATAGAAAATAATTTTAGAAAAACAAATCGTTTTAATAACTGCTGGAAATTATAATAAATCTTTGAAAATAAAAATGTGTATGACAGGGACTGATGTAAATTCTGAAACA